TAGAAGGGTTTAAACGGGCTAACGAGACGCCGCTTTGATTTGATTTGTCGCTACAGTTTAAACGCGAAATGAACGCCAGCCGGGGAGCTCGGGGGCGACACGCGATCATCCGACGGAATAAATATGTCCGCGGAGCGCACCGCGTGTCCGACACGCCATTCGATTTGCATTCCGCGCCGGATCGCGGACATCCCCGCTCGCGAGAGCGCGTTCCGCTCCCGTGGCTGGCCAACTATCTCGGAAGACATTTTCATTTTCGGAACTCGTCCGCCACGCTGGCCGAGTTTCACCGTTGCTCGCGGAACGCGTCGCCTCGGTATAGTGTCCCTTATCCGGGGACGTTGCGCGTCGCTTAACCGGGGACTGCGGCTTGCAGCGGACGATACGCTTTCGATTAACACGCTCGCTGCCGCCCTTGGAGATTTGTACGAGTGTTACGTGGTGAACAGGCATCGGTCGATACTGGAATTAACGGATAAATGGTTTTTTAAAGCGCTGATGTAGATGCTTTGTATAACGATGCTCGCGAGTGTAGGTGTGATAGATAATGGATATGGTAAGTTTGTCTTGATCGAACTCTCCGACAGTCATGTAATTGGTAAAATAAGAATTGCTTTTGTCCATTGCTGATTTGAAAGTGAGCGTCAACGTGTTATGTGAAAATTAGAAAATTGGAGAATTTGGAAGTTTGAAAATTCAAGAACTTGGAAGTTTGAAAATTTAGTAACATGGGAATTTGAGTATACTGATTTCACGGATATCGAAATTATAAAAGAATTCTCATCAACGAGTTCCAGTGTTAATTACCAGCGCACCTTCGCAATCGCGAGGTCGAATTATTACTTGAAAATAAGAAAATTGAATAATTTGGAAGTTTGAAGATTATAAAGTTTGTGTTTGAAAATTTAGAAACATGGGAATTTGAGAATATTGACTTCACGATTATCGAAATTACAAAGGAATTCTCATCAACGACTTCCAGTGTTAATCTCTATCGCGCATTCGCAATGGCGATATCGAATTATCACTAGAAAACAAGAAAATTGAAGAATTTGAACATTATGAAGTTTAAAAATTTCGAAACACGATAATCTAAGAATATTAACTCCACGAATATCGAAATTACAAAGGAATTCTCATCAACCAATTCCAGTGTTAATCACCGTCGCGCATTCGCAATCGCGAGATCGAACGTCGCTGTCCGATCGGCCATTACCTTGATCATCCGCGCGAGCCGTAGTCGGAAAGCGATGGTTTTCATTCGGACTGGAGCGTTCTCCGATAAGAACAGGAATCGCTGTCGCGCGACACGCTACTGACATTTCCCAGGTGGCAGCGAGCGCGTTAATCTTTCGCCGTGAGATCCGCCCTCGATCGTCGGCCGTGTCTCCTCGATTAATCGCGAGATACGTACACGGGAATGCGACGCGGGCCTCCGCACCGTCGCGCGTTGGCCTCGGGAATCGATACTTTCGGCGAAGCTGTAGGATTACCTTATCACGGCCGATCTCGGGCAATCAGTCAGAACAGATCCTCATTAAATCCCAACTTTCCTGTCCCCGCGATCGCGACAACTAGCGATGGGACCGAGACCATTACGCACTCATGAATATCAATTGGCTCGGTGTCCCCGGGACTCGTTCCGTTCGATTCGATTAATACTCCGAGGCAAAGAGACGGTTCCGTTCTTCGTTACCATCTCCGGCGAATAACGTTCGTTCGATCGGATCCGACGCCGGAATGATAATTGCGGATCGTCCGGCGTTACAGCCGGAAATTGCGCGAAACGGAGCATGAATTTCTTCATTACCATTTAGAAAACTTGCTTCGTCTACCGAATGAAAATTCTCAAATCTACGAATTCCATTTCCATTGAAAAATGCAAAAATTCGCGTTGACCTAGGTACGGTACTATGGCTTCCGCAGATGGCATCGATTATTACGGTACGCCACTATAGTGGCCTTCCGATATATTGTTATGGAACGCTATAGTCGCTTTCGTGGTCAATTCACATATACAAAGAAATTATAATTTATCATTCCGAACTCTTCCCAAGTACTGTACCCACTTCAGCGCGCCTAAAAGGTTAAACATTCGAGCATCCCCTAACTCGATGCGTTCAGTCCCATCGCTAGCGGCGCTCCAGAATTTCTTTGGTAATCCCCGGTGAAACACGGATTACATATCGATCTCCGCTTCCCCGCAATCTTGGACCGTCCGCCGGAGCCCTCGTTACGCCCCATTCTCGCCGGTTACACGGCGTTGTCCTCGGCGGCGCTCCGGCGTCGAGCGGAGACCTTCCTCGGTATTCGTTCAGACGAACACGACGTGCGGTTTCTCGGGGATCGGCGGTTCGTAATCGTAATCGTAGTCGTAGTCGTAACCGTAGTCGACCCGGTGGACGTTCGGCCTGGGCGCGACGGGGGCGGCCGGGCCGTGCATGCGATAGAGCGACAGCACTTCCGGCGGCTCGTCGCGCAGATCGGTCACGTCCGCGACCGCGTACACGCCCTCTTCCGTCTGCCTGGCGTACGGCTCGTTCGCCGCGCGATTGTTGCCGCTCCTCGTGTACCTGGGCGTCTCGTAGATGTTCGTGTCCTGCGACTGCGGGCTCCTCTGGCCGATCTTGCCGCGCGGAGTGTCGTACGGGGTGGTGTCCTCGTTCCTTGCCAGCAGCCTCCTGCTGTAGGACTCGGCGTTCTTGTCCAGCTCGTCGTTGTTCCTGCCGACGTACACCAGGAACTCGGGCCTGTTCGGCGCCGCGTAGGCGAGACGCTTCTTCCTCTTCGAGCGGGTGAGGTGCGCTATCAGCGCGAGAATGGTAGCAGTCGCGGCGAGGCATCCGGCCGCGGAGAGCGAGAGATAAAGCGGGCTGAGCCGGCAGCGCAGAGAGCCCTCGGACAGCGCGATCAACGGCTTGCCCGAGAACTCCTCGTCCGCGCAGACGATGTCGTTCGTGTCCAGCTCGAGCCGCGACTCGTTGCGCCGCTCCTCCGCCCTGATCACGTTCCACAGCCAGTGCACCGAGCAGTTGCAGACCAGGGGGTTCCCGCCGACGCGCAGCGAGGACAGGCCGTCCACCGGGAACTGCGTCGGCTGGAGGGTGGACAGGCTGCAGCGTCGCAGGGACACCCACTTGAGGTACCTCGCGCCGTACAGCACTCTGGCCGGCAGCTCCTTCAGCCCTCTGTTCCCGTCCATCGAGATCCGCTCCAGGTTCACGTTATCGGCGAACGCTCTAGCGTGCACCGCGGCGATCGCGCAGTCGTTCAGCTCTAGGACCCTGAGTTCGTAGAGGTTACGGAAGCCAGCCGCGTCCAGGACACCTAGGGGGTTCCTGCTGAGCACCAGGTGCGAGAGGACGTTCAGCCTAGCTAGAGCCGCCGTGGGCACGGACGTCAGGTTGTTGCCGGAGAGGTCTAGCCGCAGGAGGTCGGGCAGACGGTCGAACGCGTCGTCGGCGATGTTCCTGATCACGTTGTTGGCCAGGTCTAAGGAGACTAAGGAGGGTAGCGAGGGCAACGAGTCTCTGTTCAGCTCTTGGATCAGGTTGTCCGACAGGTCGAGGTTCTCCAGGCTGGGCGCTAACGCTAGGTTCCTGGTTGGGATCTCTAGCAAGGAGTTCTCGTTGAGGATCAGCGTGCGGATCCTGTGTAGATTCTTCAGTAGTCCCTCTGGCAGGCTGGTGATCGAGTTGTCGCTGAGGTCCAGCACCTCCAGCTCGCTGGTGCTCTTGAACGCCAGCTCGTCCATGTCGGAGATGTTGTTGCTGGCCAGGTTCAGGACCCTCAGCGAGTCCATCCCCTGCAGGGAGTTCTTGGCCAGCGCTCGGATCGCGTTGTTGCTCACGTTCAGCGTGAGGAGGTTCTTCTGAAAGACGAAGTTGTCCGAGCCCAGCGTGTGTATGTTGTTCGACGTCAGGTCCAGCGTCTCCAGGTTGCAGTAGAAGCCGAACGTCAGGTGGATGTTGCCGACGCGGTTGTTGGACAGGTCCAGGTGCTTGATGTCCGGGTTCAGTTGGATCGGCACCACCTCGAGGCCCGCGTACGCGCAGGACGCGCGCAGGCTATCGTCGTCGCAGCGGCATTGGGTCGGGCAGAGGCCGTTCGCCACGAGCGACATCGCGACGGCCATCGCTATCGCGATTGGCAACGTCGTCGGCGACGGTCCGCGCGATGCCATTCCATATGAACTCCTCCTCCACTGGAACCACCCTGCAACCGAACAACAACGGAACAAGCTCAATACGCGCCCGTATATTTTACTTATCCGGGCTTATTTCGCCGTCTAACAAGCGGAACGATCGATTCGCGAGCGCACGCCGGGCCAACGGCAGTCGCGGGACGCAATTATTCGCTTCCGATGCCGAAACGTCCTGCGACAATGTCGGCTGTCCGGCGCACCGCGCTGCGAAGAATATTCCGTTTGATTGAGGCGGCTCCGCGACGAGAGCGGCCACTTCGCTGGACGAGTAATCGGTTTCTTTTACCGATCGGGATTTCGATGCATTTTTGGCGATTTTATGCGAATGGGTTCGTAGACTGGATCTTTATGCGAGATAAGGGATTTATTAATGCTTTGTTCTAGGAAGTTTCTTCGTGTGGGATATAATTTTCTAGTGGAACTTTGATCAACTGTTTAGGTTTATTGTAGAAATGATGATTAAGGAATAACTATTTTATTTCAGGAGATTTCCGGACTATTTTAATTGCAAGAGAAAGTTGATAATAAAAGTTCTCTGTTTTGCAGTAATTGAAATCGAAAGTTATCTAACTTTACTAGTTTCTAGAAATTCTGCTATAGAAACAATGATCGAGGAATAGAACTAGTTTATTTCATAGTAAATAAAGTTTATTTAATAGTAATTGAAAGTGAGAATTATCATCTACGTTTACTAATTTTCACTAGAGTAGTTCTATTATAGAAACAATGATTGAGGAATAGAACTATTGTATTTCAATATCTCATATCTACAAGAGAAAAGTTGCACCTCGTAATCTTTCGATCTAACAACTTAATAATAAAAGTTTTCCATCCTACAATAACTGAAATCGACAATCACAATCTACGTTTACTAGTTTCTAGAAATTCTATTACAGAAACAACCATAGTCTGTCATAGTAATCAATCATATTACAGAAACTATCAAGGCATAGAACTATCTAATTACAAACGAAAGTTGCACCCAGTAATCATTCGATCTAACAATCCGATTCTAAAAGCTTCCCATCCCACAATAACTGAAATCTACAATCACAATCTACGTTTACTAGTTTCTAGAAATTCTATTACAGAAACAACCACAGTATATCACAGTAATCAATCATATTATAGAAACGATCAAGGAATAGAACTATCTAAATACAAAAGAAAAATTGCACCTCCTAATCTTTCGATCTAACAATCCAATTCTAAAAGCTTCCCATCCCACAATAACTGAAATCTACAATCATCCACCAATTTCTACAATCCCGCTAAGAAACCCAAAGAGACCCAATGAAAAACTGCCGGTTTCAATTTCAATTCGATTACCGAGGGAGCGAAGTACATCTACAAGCGTTCTCCTCCGGCGACTCGCCGGCACCGGGGTAGTCCGGGTAAAACTGTCCCGGATAAATAAAACATGGCGGTAAAAAGGAACGACAAGATCGCCGTTCTTGCCGATCATTGGAAACAGTCCACGTACGGGTCACGCACATTGTCTCCCGCGGTATGCATCGAACAACACGTCATTGGTCCAATGCCAGGAGCCACCCCCTCGCCCCCTCGCCGACATACACTCGGGGCATCCCCCTTTGGCTCTGTCAAGTTTCGAATTACGCGACCACTCAACTTTCTATAGGCCTCTATACCTTTTTTCCGCGGGAGATAAAGACATTTTCCTACGGCGGCGCTTCTGTTTCAACCGCGGTCCGTTAAACTCGAACCCCTCGCGTGCTCCGGCCACCCTCTAACGGCGTGTACCGTCCGCCGAGCGAGCCCCGCTTTAATATTGAATAGATACCTATAACCTTTAACGGGCGCGCATAAGTCGGGAACTTAAAATAACCTTTTCTCCTTTCATTATTGCGTACGCTATACGTGGCCGTGGGTTACGGGCGTGCTCGCCACTCGATCGCTCGAGCCGGAGGCTTGCCAGGCTATCTTCGACGTCGAGGTTTAGGGGATGCGCCGACGATGGATACGTTTTAACTTGTTAACGCGTCGCGTACCGGTGGAGAAATCTCGGTTTTATATGGAGACACTTAGCTGTGTAACTTCGGTAATTAGTAGCATTGAAAGAAATATAGAATTTAGTTCGAATTGATTATCTAAGATTTTCATATCTCCATGGGTAATTGCGATTGAATTATTGAAGAAAATATAAAATTTGATTTGAATCGGTTATCTACTTAATATATATTACATAACAATATATCTGAGTTTTCTACTACTGAGTTAACTACCCTAAAATTATTAGATCTTCCACAGATCCAAATTTTGTACTGAGAAGGAAAATAGAAGATCCAAGGAATATTATATCATTTTTCATTTTCACTAAAGATCCCATAAAAATTAGTTGCAATTGCTTATAGATGACAAAACCATCTGGAGTGCTAAGAGTTAATATCATATTATAAGGTTTTTGTAATGTTTATAAGATTCGTATAATATTTATTACAATATTTTTGCTATTCTGTTTACGCGTAAATATCGTGAAATATATGAAGTGATATTTCAATATTTTTATAGTATCCCTAGCGAAAATGACAAATGCTATAACATTCCTTCGATCTTTTATTTTCCTTAGTGCAAAATTTCGATGCATGGAAAATCGAATAACTTCAGGGCAGTTTCTTTGATTCAAATATTTGATATGTGCAATATTGGAACCTACAGAGTTCAAAGGGTTAAAAATTACACACATGTTACATAGAGGAACACAAGAATTCTAAAAAGACTCAAACGGGGCATAGCACAAGGTTACACACCGATCTAAATAATTCACAGAAATATTCATCAAACTAATTCCCCAGCACACATCGAACTCGAAAATCCGATAACCGAACCGGGGTATAATTACGTGACCGATGGCGGCCCAAAGACGACAGGCGAGGCTCGCCACGAGGAAGCGGAGTGGGCCGAAATAAAAATCGGCCGCGGCTCGGGAAACAGGGGACCTTTGTGGGAGAGCGAGCGGAACCCGCGAGACCGTAACTACCCTTTACGTTCAACGGTTTGCTGCACAAACTCGATGCAAGTTTATTTACGGACACCTGCACGTTCAATTCGCTCGTTCGGATTTTGCACGGCTAGCCGGCTCGCACCCTTGCCCTCCGACCCCTGCGCCCGCTCCTCCTCGGCGCGCTCCTCGTCCTCCTCACGGAAAATACATCATCCCCGGGATCCGTAGCGAAGGCAGTTTGCGTGTCAACTTTTTACCCCACCGTTCCCCCTCGCTTCCACTCGTAGAATAAATAACGTTAGCCCCGCGGCACCGAAAGGAACAATGATAACGCGGAATTGTTTCAGAAGCGAAATCCCCGGCGGCGAATGATTCGACGCCCGCCTCGAAAATTAACAAGCCGATAAAAACTTTATTCGACATGGGTTTTTATTATGTCGGCCGGCAACGACCGCGGGACCGGTAATGACGCTCCGGCTCTATACAGATTTTCGTATTGTCTCACGGCCAACGGCGCGGCTACGTTCGCCGCGTTTTAAAATCCTGTTCAATTCCGCGGACTGTAATCGCGCGGGCTGTTCTCCCTGTTCGCAGCGACGTGAGCTTTGATTCTTTATTGAGTGTATGGAGATCGTGAAGAGGATGCTGTGTTTCTTTCTTCCCGGGCTGCGCTCGCTTTTTAATTAGGTATCTTCAGTTTGGAGGGTCGGGGGGCGATCGCGGGTGAAAGGTGAATTGAATTCGGAGGATTGTTCGTGGAATACGAACGTGGAATACTGTTTGTCCTTTTGTTTTGGGATTGCGTTTGTTGGATTATTTATCGTTAATGATGCAGTGGTGGAAGATATTCCATGATCTTTTTGTGGAGATTTGTGAAGCATGTATATTGGTAACGAGAACAATGTTTCGTTTAAGACAAAGTACTAAACGGGTCAGAATGACCTGATTTCTTCATTTTACAATTATTAGGAAGGTAATGATGTTTCTCTGAGAAATTGCTGAAGAAATTGATTTAGCAGTTCAAGTTTCAATAGATGCACTCTTGGAGTTCCTATAGAGAAATTTCAAAAGGTACATTTAACTCGGTAGATTTAGCGTTAAACTTGCAATTCAATATTTGTGTTATGCGATTGGTAACAAGAACAATGTTTCGTTTGAGCTTAGCATAATTCGATATTTGTGTTATGTGATTGCTAACAAGAATAATGTTTTGTTTGAACTCAGCACAACTCAACGACGTTTGTATTTGTTAAACCATATTAGAAATCTTCGTGTCTGGATATTATAAGGCAAGTTAACGCTGAAGGATATTGTATTCGGTGGAGATTTAGAAACGCAGAAGTTTAGAAATGCAAAACCAAATTAAGAAATTCAGAGCAAAACCAGAAACGCAGAATTGGAAGTTAATCGTTAGAGGAAATGTACAATCGACAAACCTATTTGTGAAAAATGCGGTGAAGAGGAATAAAATGTGAATTATACAATTCTAAATAAAAGAAACTATATTTGTATACTGTTAAATTGGCTATTATCTTCATTCTGTATTAAGAAATATAAGTTGTGCTACAGACCAGTCATTTGACTGGTCGCGGTAGGAATAGTGTTAAGATGAGACTCGCGATGAAGATTTCTAAACTAATTTAACAGAAATCAATGTTATTCATTACCCACGAATCAAAGCAAACAACTATTGCTATCATCAATGTATTATCTTCAAATGAAATCTCCACCTGAAGTAGAATGGAAAATTCTGTTGTATTTCTTACAAATTGTCGATAGTAAAATATTACAGCAGTAATACGACAGTCATTCGACTGGTCGCGGTAGGAATAATGTTAACTTGCGGGATTTCTATAAGACTTCCGAAACTCTTCTTCCATTCCAAATACCAAAGTAGCTGTTACAGTCTGCTAAATAGAAGTCCCTGTTGGTAAACCAGTAATTCTCGAATTAAAAGGGTGGAGAGCACTATGCTCTAGGTATCTTTTAAGACCCCCCATCTACCAGTGCTGTCTAAAAAAATAAAAAGAAAAAAGAAGGGAACCGCCG